ATATAAAATAATGAGAAATTATATTTGACCATAGTTGGATCATATTCACTCAAAATCAAGTGAAAAAAACCTTTCAACACATTTTACAACCTGTTTTGGTATCTGCTTTGATTTGCTTTAAAAATAATGTCAATTTTTTTTCCTTTATAGATTTGCTTGAATGTATTTATGGATTTGCAATGACGCAATTTTGTACAGTTTGATTACTTTCTGATTCAACCGCTTGATGTTTGAACTGTGTTTAGTGAATGTAAAAACAGTTTCCATGAGCTTTTAGTCAAGACTCTTAGGTTTCTATTGATACCAAACATGTCCAGGTTCAACTGACAGATCTGAAGTTAAACAAAGTTAAAGGAAATAGAAAATGGAAAAAAAAAGTTTTGGGGCTCAAGAGGTTAAAACATAAATTTAAGAGCTTTTTAATGTCTAAAAATGACTAAATAAAGAGGTGAAAAATAAAGGTTTTGGTGGTTCAAAGAGGTTAAAACATAAATTTAAGAGCCTTTTAATGTCTAAAAATGACTAAATAAAGAGGTGAAAAATAAAGGTTTTGGTGGTTCAAAGAGCTTTAATAAATGGTTTATGAAATTGCATTGTGCTCTTCCCTAAAAGCTTCTACTGCTGCCTCTGTTTATCACGAATTAAAGTGACTTTTTGGGGGAAATTTGAGTCAAAATCCCACAAGAACTCCAGAATCACAGAACTTTCCGTGATGAAGTCCAAACACATCGAGGTATCTGAGCACAGCAACGTCGCTCTGAACCGACTCACAGCTCCCACAGGATTAAAGGATTTCAGGACCTTTACGTAATCTTAAACAGAATATCTCAATCCGGTAAGGCTCTGCTGAAGACATGACATGTATTTAGGAAACTCGTGTAGTGGTGGTGGTGGTGGTGGTGGGGGGGCTAACGACTGGAAGTACGTGTTGCGAAGTCGACTTACGAGCTGCTCATTACTCTACACTTTCATGAGCGACGCTCTGCCGTCACGGCCGCGTGGTTTTCAATTTTCCTCAGAGTTTAAAGGAAGCGTGATAACAAATAGATGCGAGAGGCAGCGGCCTGTGTCTTCTGCTTTGCTTGTCGGGTGAAGACTCCTTTAGTCRGTACGTTTCACGGCGTTACGTCTCTTTTTCCAGGGGCGTCGTGAAGGACGGCGACCAAGTGGGGGGGCGATGGCCAACCAATAAAAACTGTAAAATTGTTGGTGTGCATTTTTTTATTTCCCCTCGTGCCATTTAGGATTAGAAAAACAAACTGAAGGCATCGCTGCTCYTTTCCCTCCAAAACAGCTAATGTGGAGGCTTTTTTAAACTGTTAAACTTCCTCTCCAGAATTGGGCAAGAAGCAGGAAAAAAAGTCACTTATCTCCAAAGGGGAGAGGTGTTGGGAATTTCGGGGGGTTTCCCAGTCTGGATCTGGAATAAGGACAAACTCCCAACATGTTTGTTTTTGTCCGACAGAAAGGAAAATGTTTACTTCCAAAAGTTTTTATCAAGACAATCAATTAACAGACGATACTGTAAGTCTTTGAATAATTGAACAAAAGGGTTAGCTGTAGTTAGCGACAGATGGGGGAGTAAATATGAGCACATGTTTATTAAAATGCTTCTAAAGAACCGAAGCTAACGGTTTTTTTTTCTCCACTACTGCTTGGCACTTCGGAGGCCTCATATGGGTTTAATCTCAACCCACTTCTCATTTATTCTCTCTTGACAGAATAATGGCCGTCTTTGGAGAGTTTCCTACCCACTTCATTCCCTCTCTCCTCACCCCGAGTGTCTAAGTTTACACAGAGCGATCCTCTCAGGCCTTGTGCAAAAAAAAACAAAAAAAAAACTGTGTGTCGTTTTCTCGTATAGCCTCTCTACTGATAATATAAAATAAAAATAATAATAAAAAAAAGAAGTGCTTTAAGTTCAAACTGCAACTGAAACCGCTGCATGCGTCCTGCTGAGGAAAATAAGGGTTTGGATTTCCTGCGATTGCGTTCGTCTCAGTTGGAACGAGACGGTTCCTACCGCCTCTGCGCTGCGGGGCGAAGACAGACGCGAGCAGAGAGGGACGAGGAAGACGGTCGGGACACGTGGGACAGGAAGGCCTTAATTAAAAGAGTTGGACTCTGCGCAGGAGGGCGGCGTAATGAGACGTTCAAGCTGTCCGGGGAGAAGCTCGCGTCATCTCAAGWGTTTGCATCAAGAAAGGCAAGTTTCCCCTACATTTTATTATCTGATCCTCTAAGCTTTGCTGCTCTAAGCTTTATTTTGAAAGAATAAATCCAGTAGAAAAGCTTCAACAAAYTCAAACTATTAACTTTTTCATGCATTTGACAATTTCATCCCTAAAGCTCTAAAAGGTCCAAATAAGGTTTAAGTGATAAACTTTCTTATTTAAGGGTATTTTTGGTGTTTGTTTATTATGACGATTATCTAAAATGTTAAAATTTTAAACTAAWGCAACAATGCAACAAGCCTAAGTTTAACCATTTAATGTTCGGCTCCATTGTTTGGCAAAACAGTTTTTTGTTTTAAGATAAAATATATCAAAGGCCAAATCACCCAATGGTTTTAACCCAACCATCTCAGATTATTATGAAAACTGACATATTTGTCACTTGTGATCCCACAGTAGAGTATTTAAAAATTGAGGTTAAACAGACCAGTGGTTCCAGAGATATGGCCCCACAAAAATTTTGATTTTTTTTTAGCAAACTTGGTGATAAAGATGGAATAAAGTCAAAAGAACAACAGGAAATTCACCTCCGTCTCTGTCGTGCCAGTTTGCCCGACTGCTCGCCGGTGAGCTGGGCGACGAGTAGAAGTCCGGTCCAGTCGGGCTGGTGTCCATGTTCTCGTCCAGGCTGACCGTTTTGGGCCTTTTGCTGCAGCGATAGAAGCAGTTAACGACTCAACACAATCGGTCATTATGGTTAAAACCTGGAATTATGTTATTAGCTAAAACATAAGTCTGACATTTTTGGAAAACACACCCGTTTACCAGACGAGAAGCAGATTGTTAGAAGCAACAGTAAAGGAAAGACTTAAAAGAGTAAAAAATAAACACAAAAATCCCTCTAATAACTGTAGCAGCTGGGAGTTCAAACATCATATTCTCTCTTATGGCTCACAGATTATGTAAGATCTTGGAAAAAATAGTTTTTGGAACACAACAAATTACACTTWACCAATGCAAAAATGGCAACAACTGGTTTAGTTTTATAGCTGTTGAGCTACAGTTTGGTGTGGTGGTAGACAAGAGTCGACCACATCACACACTGAGCGCTAAATTTGGGCGATCCTTTTTATTAAAGCCCCCCCCCAAAAAACCCCACTAACTTACTTTAAGGACTCGTGATTTAAATTAAACTACAAAACGATTATTCTAATATCCCCAAAATGTATTTCCTTTGCGGTGACTTCCACCGACCTGCCGGGAGGGGAGGACAGGGAGCGGTGAAGTCCCACGCTGGAGTTCAGGTCGTGGTAGTAGGGCTGGCCCGGCATGTCGGCCATGGAGAAGGGTACCGCTGCGCCGTGGGTGATGGGCACTGCAGAGGACACAAGAAGCAGCTCAAAGTCACACAGCTGTCAGGTTTACAGTGTATATGAAGACGCTGCGGAACAACTGAAGCAGCTTTTAGGTACTTCTGAGCCGACTTAGCACCATTATTTCACTCACTTCAATTTAATTCAAAAATACTTTATTCAGGGTTCCCACACCTTGGTCAACATCAAATTCAAGCACGTTTCAAGGACTTTCCAGTACCAACTTCCTCAAATTCAAGAACCAAGAGCGACAGCAATTACCTACTGCTACCAYCGAATGTTACCAATAAACAGGTTTATCATGTAAATTCAATGAAAAACTGAACATAGAAGTTATTGAGTCGGAATCAATGAAACAAAGTGGATTAAATGTTTACCCTACATTCATATCTACAACACATGAACATGTAATTATGTCCTGGGAGGTTCAGCAGCTCAGTTTGGGAGGAGGGGATGTGAACATGTCCAGACCCTTGGTGAGGACAGGAGCTGTGATGCTTTCACCTGGGCTCAGAAAGAATGACCCGCCCTGCTCYGCTCTGACTGGCTAAAACTATGACATGGCTCACGTTATTTGTTGAAAGCCACATCAGTTTACTGTAATCCTGAGTTACCCACCGCAACAAATGTAAGTTTTTTTATTTTTATTATTTTTATTTTTACAGATGATAAAAATCAGTCGCGTGAATAGAGAAATTCAATCCCTAAAATCATTCAAGGACTTTCAAGGACAAATGTAATTTTTGGCTGTTTTCACAAACTTTCCAGGGCCTTGAAATAATTTTTTTAAAATTCACAAACTTTCAAAGATTTCAAGGACCCGTGGGAACCCTGTTTATTGATGGCAGAGGGAAATTAGATGAGCTATTGTAGATGCTGATGGCTGTGTGTTTGTATTACAACGAAATTSAAGAAGCCTCCATCTGAAGACACAATCTGATGAAGAGGATGATCAGGGAACTCCTCAATGTTTTTCATTTTATGTCAAATCAATATTAGTTGTATTATTGGTTTGTTGGAGCTCGTGAGATTTAAAAAACACTTTGCAGCTTCCTCAGATAATGATTACGGAGGCGAGCGGTGTTATTTTCCTCACTGCGGTTGAGGTGAGGGATATTGTTTCAAGCCTGTGTTTACAGAACAAAAGGGGGGGTCGCCACCCATATTGGCCTCGTCAGTGTGTGGCCTGCAGCTCGAGTGGTCGGTCGGTGGGTTTGGAGTGGCTGAGGAGACGGGAGCGTGTGGCGCCGTCTGTTGTGGTCTGAGGTTGACCGCCGGCACGGTCCGCCCGCCCAGCCTTCGCCCTGGCAGCCCGCTGCAGCCTTGGCAGAGGCTCCCACCCGCTGCTGCCCACACCCAGCCCACTGTGGAGGAATGCAAGCGCTGAAGGCAAGAGCATTGTTTTATTTCTCAGTTTATGGTTTAGGATTCTCCACAACTATCTCTCTGTGGTCGCTGGCAGAGAGCTTGAGATGCCACTCGGTCACTCTTACTCATTAATTCAGAACAACACGCCGTTCGTTTTGGTGCTTTTTCTAGAAAAAAATACAACGTTCAGTTGTATATTTGCGCTGTTCGACAAATATTTTTGTTTCTACGCTTGCAGCCGAGGCCCCCCTCGCTGCATTAATGAGGCCAAATGCCGGACCGCGATCCGGCCTTGAACTCCGCAGCTCCCTTTGATGGACTTCAAAGAAGGTCTGAGCAGCTCGGAAAGCCGGGCCAGGAGGAGCGCGATGACGGACGAGCGGCGGCTTAGATATCTTCCCAGGGAGCGAGCGGCTGAGTGAGTGACAACTCCTGTGTGTGTCCGGTGACCTTTTTAAAATTCCTCCTACGGCTTCGGTGAGACGAGCCTCTGGCACCGGAGAGCAGGGACGGTGGCTCAGAGGCCATCTGGTCAAAAAGGCAAATTAAACTCACAAACAAAACAAAACAACACACAATCTTCGAAGGGATCATCGGTCTCTGAGCGCTTTCAGAGCCAAATAAAAAGACTATTTGATCCACGATTCTGCCTCAGTTCAACTTCACGTTGTGGACAAATAAAAACACCTCTCAGTTTTCTCTATATTTAACCATGTATTGTGTGTCTGCCCATGCGTGTTAAAATAAACGCATAAAAATTCAAATTATTGGCAGTTTTTCTAATTAAATAAATGCTCAAGGCTTGTCTTAGTCTAGTTTAAAAAGATGCTTAGTATAAAAAATAGTGAAAATGGTTTAAAATAATGCATAAAAGTGATTGTTTTTTGTTTGTTCGGTTGACAAAATATCAAATTAATTACAGTTATGAGACGAGGAGAAACATTTGCTAAGTGAGAAATAAAAAAAACTTTTTTCTTCTTAGATTCGAGGGAATTGGACAGGTTTTATTTCTTTAGTAGAAACCAGAGTTGTAAAGTAACTAAGTACAAATACTTTGTTACTGTACTTAAGTAGAATTCTTGGGTATCTGTACTGTACCTGAGTAATTATTTTTCAGCCTACTTTTTACTTCTACTTCTTACATTTTCACAAAATTATCTGTACTTTCTACTCCTTACATTTTTAAAAATGTCAATAAATAGAAAGTCGTTACTTTTATTTCATTTTTGCTTGTTTTCATTTCAGCTTGTTTTTGTAAAAAAAATAAAAACTATCCATATAAACTGTGCCTCCTATAAAGTGAATTTAATTGTGGTTGAATGAGAAGTATAAATATATAAAACTCTGATAGCATATTAGTTTGTACACAAACAAATGATGTCACACTCCAGCAGGACATAATCATTAAAATTAAAGGACTGTACTTAAGAAGTATTTGTATTTCATGAATTATATTATTACATTTGGCCGCAGCCCTCAGATAGATTTTCATTTTGGGAAAAGTTTTGTGCAGCCTTGATATATTTATATAAACTGAAGTAGCTGGACTAGTGCATCCTAAATTTAACATAAATTATTTTAATACAACAGTCATTTCTGCATTGTTTTGAGGAGGTCACCTCCTAATAAATGTCATTATGTAAAATCTAACTGCTCATTTTAAATCAATACTTTTACTTTTAAGTACAAAAAACATCAGATCCTTTAAGACTTTTACTCAAGTAATATTCCTAAAGGAGACTTTAACTTTTACCAAAGTAGTTTTTTGGTAAGATACTTGTACTTTTACTCAAGTATTACTTTGTGGTACTTTATACAACACTGGTAGAAACTTTTTTGTTTTGTTTTGTTTGGTCAGTAAACACAATAACAGCAGTGGGCTTTTTGTGTAGAAGTGCACAAAAAAAAAACCAACAACAAAAAGAAGAAGTACAGATCCTGTAATTTCTTTCTTCTTTGTGTTTTATTCATAAGAATTACTGTCTAATAATCTGGATGACGTTATTTGTTTTCACTGTCAGCATTTTATAACAAATAAACACTCGAATTCAGAGTTAAACCAGGAAAACGCAAAATGCTGTGATGATTGTAGCTCGAAGAATAAAATCGGTCTCGGCAGGTTATAGCTGCTCATAAACGGGAACTCTTCCTTTTATTTCTACATGATTAAAAATAAATTTGACCAAAGTGATGTGCAGGTTCGTAAATCTATTTTGGAATCTAATAGATGAGATTTATTCACTGTAACTCCTAATCTAATCCAACGGTCGTTGTGGTTTCAGATTGAGCAGAAAACCACCAACATTCCTGACAGAATCTGCAAACACTTGGGATTTAAACGCCGTGGAGTTGGATGTGGCAGCCGGCATTGGCACGTTTCTTTTTAAACACGAGCAGTCGACGTGTGTGTGTGTGTCTGTGTGTGTGTGTGTGTGTATGTGTGTCTGTGTGTGTGTGTGTTGACTGGAGTCTTTGTGCTCCTCAGGCATGTTCGCTACAGTTGCAGCCCGGGCTCAGAGGCAGGTAAACGGTGCCTGGTCGTGCCCTCAGGTAACAGAGGAGTCTCAGAGAACAACCGTCAACAGCTTGGCGGCGAGAGAAGGACGTGTCTGTGCAGATGAGCGCAGACAGCTGCGCGCTCCAGAGTCAACTCATCAAAAAAAAAAAAAAGACTGGCTGAACTGGATTCACCACACCACAGCTGTGTGGTGGGATTTCAGTTGGAACAGAGATTATGAAGAAAAACAGTTTAAAGTGACAGTTCAGGATAAAGACGCTTTTGTTTTCTTGTTTAGTTTTTTTTTTAAAATCCTGATCAGTTTTTAAGTTTACGAGGAAAAACAGAAACACGCAGGTGGTTTTAAGCTCCGTGATTAAACCTGATTAATGACGGCGGAGAGGGTTTATGCAGGCTGACAGCTTCACTTCCACACACCTGTTACGTTTAACGCCAAGCTACACGAGCGCCGAGATCTAAACAAAAATAGATACGCAGGGTGTTGTGTTCAAAAGAAAACCAAAAAAAACAAGCAAGCATATACTTACTTCTGGACACTCGCACCAGCTCTGCAACACTGAAGACTCCTGATTTGATGAAACTGTCCTCCAGATAAACTGCAGGAGACGACAGACATGTTGTTACATCACTGCAGCTGTGCTCAGCTGGTAAACATCAGAACGGAGCTGAAGCTCAAATAAAGTTTCTTTTAATAAACAATAACTTTCACAGGTATCACATGTTGTAGTCTGGATGCTGGTGCAGCTTCACACTATTATTTGTATTTTTCTGTATTATTTTTAGTTTTTTTTTCAGCTTGTTTTTAGCTGTTAGCTGTGAAACTGTTCAGCTCGGGAGGTGGGTGTTTCAGTAACTTTTCTGCTTTTAAAAATATTGAACTTCTTTTATTTCACAAATATTTTTACAGCAGAAATACACCGAGGTCTCTTCGGTTGCTTAAAAACAGCACACCTGCTTGATTTTTTTCCTTATGTTGCTTTTAGCTTTATGACAGGATTCTGCTACATTTAGCTAGGCTCTAGCTACTATTTTATTTTATATTTTTAGCTAATTTAATGCTGCACTCTGTAAGATTTCTGCTACTTTTAGCTACTCATTTGCTAATTCTAGCATTTAGTTAGACTTTTGCTATTTTTAAATTTGAGCTACAATTCTGTTACTCTTACCCAAAATCTAGCCTATATAGCTAAATTTAGCTACTAGTCAGCTAATATAAGCTTTAAGGTAACCCTTTGTTAAATTTAAGTGGCTGTTTTGCTAATTTTATTTTCAATTAGTCTTTTTTTCCAGTTTTACCTTTGAGCTTGTTACTTTTAGCTTTTAGCTAGTCTTATGCTATTTTAGACAGCATTTTGATAGCTTATAGAGTCTTTTGCTGATTTTAGCTAGTTGTTTTCTAACGTTACTTTTTAGCTAGCCCTTTTTAAAATTTCAACTTCAATTCTGCCACATTTAGCTTTTATCTAATCTTATATTACTTTTAACTAACCATCTGCTAATTTTAGCCTCTAGCTAGCTGTCAGCTGGTGCATTGGGTTTTTTAGCTTTAAAACTTAGATTCTGCAGCATTTCAAAATGCATTCTCACAGAAATTGCAACTTCTCTGAGTCTAAAATTATGTCTGGTTAAAACTGAGCGAAATATGTTTTATTTCTTTGTTTTCTTTTTCCTTAATCATCAGTTATGTTTTATGTTAACTGGTAATTTTATTTTTTATTTTTTAGGATGCTTCTCAAATAAAAATTTTATCATCTTTATATGATCATGACATAAATCAATAAAGTTTATTTATTTTTTTTACTGTTGTTAAAATATACTAAGAGAGAAACAAGGAAATTATTCTGAGGGATTTTAGTTGTGATTAAAGATTTAAAACACTAACGGTTTAGTTTTAGGCTGCCGGTGAGAGGGAGAAAAACATATCCACTTTAACCTGCGGTCATTTTTGAAACAATAAAAAAGCACCGGTGTTAATAATTAGTTATTTCAGAATTAGCTAAAGTTGGAATCAGCAGGTCTCAGAATCGAGACTTATTTACTTTTAGAATAAAGAAAAGGTTCCTTTGTTAAATTAATTGTTGGTCCTGATTTAATTGTTGCTGAGCCGAGGCATTTGTTGACACCTGTCTGACCTTCAGAGACTCCACGACACTAATCCCCGGCTGTCAGTCGGGTGAAACAGCCAGACGAGTTCCTGACACCCAATTGACCGCGGCTCTGTTTTGATTCCCGACCCGAGGGTGCCCGGAGCGTGCCAGAAAGACGGAGGAGCGTCTCCGCTGGCACCTGCGAAGCGCTCAACGCCTCGCGCGAGCCAAGGCACCGTGCCACGGACCGAGGGCCTCCCGGAGCCTGAGTCACTGGCTCGCTCGCGTGTTTTCCTTGGCAGAGCCCGTCGGCGGAACCTGCTCTGGAGGTAGAAAGCTAATTACGCTTTCTAGAACTCCTTCGCATTCCAGCGCTGCGACGACAAGAGCGCCGGTCGGTCCAGGGGAGGAGAGTCGCAGTCGTCGTAATCACGGACGCTAAAAGATTCAGCTGCACCTTTTCTACTGAACCTGACAGCGGCTCATGTCTGTGCTCGTAGGGGCTGCGRCTGCAAAGAAATAAATTTAAAAAAGGCTTTGCTGCTTCGGCTGACGGCGGCTCCGTTTGGACGAGGTGTGCGTGAGCGGCGGCGCTGGAGGGGAACAATGTGGCGATGACAGGAGGAAGGAGGGAGGATGACTGCTGCTCTACATACCTGGAAGAGGGGTTTTGCCTGGCTCATTGTTACTTGGACTTCCTGACTGCTGCGAGTCTGTGAACACAGAAAGACAGGGAGAGGAGGGGGGTTAATGGTTGTAGAACACATATGTACTAAAAGCATTGATGTAATCCGTAAAATAAAGAGTGAAACAAGTTTAGGTTCACCTGTTAAACTTAAATGAATTAAGTTTTTTTTTTCTTATCTGCTGGCCCAGTGGAGCAAGAGTGCACCCAGAGGAGATTAAACAAGACAGCTTTGTTTGAACAGTGTTATCATTAATGGCAGAGCAAACYGAGGAGAAAGCTCCGTGTCTGACACAGAATAACCTAAAAGGTTTCACCGGCAGACCTGTTAAA